ATAAATACTACCCTGGTAAGCTTTTTCAGTGTTTTGATAGAGACACTGCTAATGAGTTTTCCAGTGCAACATACCATGATAATCACAGTGACCTTATCAAATCACTGTACATAACTATAATTTGTCATACACTGAGGCAAGAACCACATGAAATAATCTTCAAATATGATATCTTATGTAATGAGATATGAACTTTTATGCAAATTGATTCAGAAGGCAACCTTTCTTCCTACCCACAAACCTTTCCTCATCTTACCACACTTCCTTCTGACCAGCACACTCAAAACCAGCTCTGGTTGAGATCATGTTTTCCATATACCTTCTGCTATTTGAAATGGTCCCTACAAGGATCTTGCACAAGTTCAGTGAGACAGTTTGTTCCATTTTCTCATATACAGAAGAAAAAAAGGATGGAGAGACCTGCTGCACATGTTACCCTTTAGGAGGCTCTAATAGCTTCTCTTTTGAGCCTGGCTGTAGCTGAGTTGTCAGCCTCTAAACAGTAACAGTTTACATCTGCCCAATAAAGTTGTGGATTTTAGCAGCTATTTTTTCCTCGACGTTTTCCTTTGCAGTTGAAGCTGTTGCTGCTGTTGGCAATGCTCAATTAGGACAGAGTGGTTGGCATACTTTGAATGGTAGAGCTTAATCCTGAGGAATGGGCTGACAGAAACTTTGGGCAGTTCAACAAGGACGTGCATATTTTCATGCCTGAGATGACTAATCCTATGCATTGGTACAGGCTGGGGACTGACTGACTGGAGCTGCAGCCCTGCTGAAGGGGATGAGGGGTTACAGTGGACACAGTGTTGAATGGAAGCCAGCCCCGCACGCTGGTTGTAAATAAGGCAAACCACATAGCGGACGATATTAGGAGGAGTATCGCCAGCAGACTGAGGCATGTCATTGTCCACTTCTACTTGGGGCTAGTGAAGCTACACCTGGAACTATGTGTGTAGTCTTGGTCTCCCCAGTGTAAGATGGACATTAAGGAAGTGGAGTGAGGGCAGCAGAAGGCTACCAGGATGATTACAGAAACGACAAAGCTGAACTCTTCTCCATAGTGACAGTAGTAAGGAGTTATGGCCACCAGAAAAAAAAAAAGCCAAGGCATTTTTGATAGAAGGCAGTGCAGCACTGGAACAGGTTACCCATTGAACTCGGGAATCCATTGATGGAGGTTTTCAAGACTCTGCTAGGCAAGATACCGTTGCCTGATCCGATGTTGGTGACTAACCACCTGCTCAAAGTGACACTAAACCATCCCCAGTGTTTTCTCCAGAAGCATGTCTATAACTCTCCTGGGTTTGAGTCCAACTCTCTCGGGGTGATAGACAGGAAGAACTGCCTCTTCTGCCATCAGCAGTTCCTCATGCCCACTAAGCCAGCGCAGTCAGAACAGAGATCTACCTGGTTCCAAAACTGGGACTGAGCATTGTGTGCCTTACAGATGAGCATCTGAAAGATGAATTCAGAGAGTTTGCCTTGTCTGCATCTACACTATGTTGTTTAATCCAGGCTTAACCTAACGACTTCCAGCTATTATGTCCACAGTCAGATACTGAACTGATCTGGAAGGTATGAGGTTCCAGACGTGCTGAGGGTAAAATCCCACCTGCAACTCATTACTTCTCATCTGAGACCAGTGCCTAAGTGGATTAAGAGTCCTCTTCTCAATCTGCCTGAATTGTTTGACTCTGGCAACACACTGGAAACCACTATGTGAGGCCAGTTCTGGTAGTCAAGCACTGTTCTTCATGAAGCAAAGAGATAGATGCTCATGCAGACTGAAAGTCATCCCAGTGGAGAGGCTGAGGACAGTAAGCCAGTCACATGCTTCCTGAACCTGGAATCTGGCTCCATGAGTTCATCTTTGTTATGCTCTATTTGACCAAGACATTAAGCTAATTTTTTTGATTTCTCACCCTGGAGGAGCAGAGCATTGTGACAGCAAAGGTGTCCTACAGCTTGCACCAGTCTCAGTTGTGATGTGGCAGCAAACATTACCAGTTCCTCCTGAGAGCAGAGGCTGCACATGAGCTAAGCCGAGGAAAAACAAAGGTAGTGCTAAAGTCTGTTTTCAGCAAACAATGCTGATTTACCGCTAAGACTAGAACAGTGGCAACAATTGTCACTCTCAGTTGAGTTTTCCAGATGCAGACAGCAACTTCAGCTGTAGCCTGTTGGAGCCCAAGTGCATGGCTGCTGCTTCTTCCCTTCATAAAGGAGAAGGAAGGAACAGGGCAGAGGCAAAAGTCTTGTACAGCTGGACTCTTAGCTGCATTGTCAAACATGGTTGAACACAGCAAGCTGGTTTTCCCCCCGAGGCTGTGAGCCTGGCTGGCAGACACTATACCCAGATTTAGAATTGTTAGGGTATAAGCTTAGAGTCTTACAAGCCAAAAATACCATGTGGGCTTAAGGCACAGGTTCTGAAATATTTCATATGAAGCAGAACAATTCCAATAGGGAAGATTTGAAGTTTGCTCATTCCCCAGTCCTATTGCAACAAAAAGGAGATGCAGTCGCAAACTGCCTTGGGCTGAGGATGGTCAGAGTGCAGATCTTCTATTTGACTGAATGCTCTGAACACTGGGACTGAAACAGGGAATAAAGTCACATCTGCTGCAGCTTTATGGAGCTACCCTTTCATTTCCTTGTCTTTTCTGACATGTGCTCAGAAATGAAATGTATCATTTAGGGTCAAATGGAAAATTTTGGTTTATACAGAAGGAGTCATTGGCTTTTGACATGAAAAAAGAAAGGGTTTGTGTTTTAGCTTAATGCAAGCCCACACTTCTTTCCAGTTTTTTTAGTTTGACAACTCATTTTCTTCTAACTAGAAGGGCATGCTAAGAAAGGAACAGAAATTATAGGGAGGGAAAGGGTAGCCTATGTTAATATAAGTTGACTAAACTTGACCTGTAGAATTGTATTCTGTGTCTGCTTGTCATGGAGTTTCTCAACAAAACATTCGGGGCACTTTTTGCATACATGTATGCTCCTCAATTTTGGGAAGTCTGGTTTGAGGCCCTGGGTTCTAATTCATAGCGAGTACATATATTATATAATGGAATATACAATAGGATACAATATATAATTCATAACATAAAAATATAAAATACTATAACAAATATATAAAGTAATAGATATCATTTATTGAGTGATTGGCATGCAGACCTAGGACTGTCAGTTTGATAGTATTATATTATGGTATTATGATACATAATAGTTTATAGAATACTATGCCTTTAAATAAAAATGAAATAATTCAAGAAAAGAATATAGAATTCTTGAACTGGATACCCAAAATTAGTGATTTTAAAGGAAAATCATTGTCTTTCAGTTCTTCAGTAGAGAATGTAGATAATAATGCCCCTTCATCCCTCTTTTTTTACGTAAATAAATAAATATTTGTGAAGTATTTATGTAATATGATGACATGAGCTTTACAAAAGCCTGTCAGGAAATTATTAGTTATGCCTTCAGAGCAGGTTTTGAATGGTATTTAGTAGATTAGACATATGTCAAGCAACAAGAAGAAAACAAAATGGTCAGTTAGTTAGCAATACTTAGCTTGTGCCTTGATTGAGGTAGGGGTCCTTTGGTGATGTAATTACAGATTTAGCAAAATGGGTAGTCAAAAGTAGGCCTAATTAAAGTTGCACAGTAATGCTTACTTTGGGTATTTCTTAACTGCCCAAGGTGACTTGAGTCTACATCCCTTTCAAAAGCTCTTCAATCAAATTAAGGAGAGAAAACCTCTTTCATCTGACTGTTGACAGTCCTTAGAAATTACAAATTTGGGCACCTAGATCCCATATGAAGAAATCCAAGGACTCAGGTTTCCCATAGAAGCTGAGAGGGAACGTAGACAGCTGGCCAATGGAATATTCCATACCATAGACATCATGCTCAGTCTATAAATGGGGGTTGGAATGGGGAGGGTGGGGCAATCCACGATCACTGCTCCGGACGGGCTGGGCAACTGTTCATCCAGTGGTGGGAGTGACTTGTGTTGTCTTCCTTCATCCTGTGTATTCTTTTACTGTTGTTATTTTCCTTTTCCATTATTGTTCTATTAAACTGTCTTTATCTCAGCCCACTTTTTTTCCCCTCCTTTTCTCCCTCTTCTCCCTACCCTTCTGGTGGGGGAGGGGAAGAAGTGGGCAAGCTGCTGCAAGGTCCTAGTTGCCAGCTGGGGTTAAACCACAACAAGAACATACAGGAAAAGAACAACACTGTTATTGCAATCTCAGTAAAAATATCAGATTTGATGGTAAACAACAAAAGAGGAATCTGACTTAAAGGTAATGCTATGAATGTTAGGATTAACTGAATCAAAGACATATTTGTGATTGGTTTCCATGCAAAGATTTCAGTATCTGACAGTTTCATTAGAAGATTCCATGTGGATGGCTCTATACAATGCAAAAAAACCCCAAAACCAGTCATACACACAGTTAGGAATCTGAAATGACTTTGATGTTTTTCATAGATAGTTGCCTGAGTACCCACTGCATACTAATGAACTCATTACAATTATGGTATGATGATTTTTCTTCTCACTGAATAACAGGAATTTGCTAACATAAAGCAAGATGAAAATGAATAAAAAGGAAGCACGGGCATCAGACTGGCTTTTCTCTGTGTGATAGTCTCTTTTTTGTAAGCAAATGCAAGCCACTTCAATTGTATTGAATTGTTTAGATATTTTGCCTGTCTCACATTTGAACTTTTAGACCTCTTTCTATTCACATTTGTTTGCATGAACTGAGTTAGCTTTTAAAAAATGTGTCAGTGATTTAATGGAATTAGTTATGTGCTGTTTCCAAAAAGTAAATGATAGTGATATAGTCAGCACTGGTTGAGTAGGAGGAACTTGTGATAGACTTACACGTGGTTAGAAAGGAGAACAAGAAAATTGATGGAGGTTTCATGGCACATTTGAAAACACACGGTTGTATGATCTAAATACATTTGTCTTTAATTTCTTACAGGCTGTTTCCAGCTATGTAATGTTTTTCGGTCCCATGAGATGGAAATTGAGCAGTGCTTGCTGGAGTCCCTCCCTCTCGGCCAGCGGCAGCGGCTGGTGAAGCGGATGCGCTGTGACCAAATAAAGGCATATTACGAACGTGAAAAAGCTTTCCAGAAACGGGAGGGCTACGTGAAAAAACTGAAACATGGAAAGAATCATCGAGTTCGTTTTAATCTCGCTGATATGATACAGGATGCAATCATACGTCATGATGATAAAGAAGGTACTTAGTAATGTTGAACTAATTTTTTCTTTTGTATGGATAAAAGTTTCAGAGGAAAAGCTTCCCTGTTCTGCTTACCTGTCTTTAGGAAAAATACAATTTTGCATGGTAGTAATCATAAAGTGACTGTCAATAAAATACATAGGCATGTATTGCGTACAACATATTATAGCTTGTTACTGAAATGAATAAGGTGTAGAGAATAAACCTTCAGAAACCTAATGAATTTAGTCTGACATTAATAATAGATTATTAATAATATATATTATATTATATATAAAATATATATTATATATAATATATATAATATATTATATAATATATTTCAAAACCAGTAAGGACTATGATCATCATTACATGTGGCCTCTTATATACCTACATAAGCCATGAAATTTAACAAGTTACTTTAAAAATTTAGCCGCTTCTCAATTTTAGCCAAAATCTGGAATAATGACTGCTGCTATGAGTGACACCGGTTCGGCTAAAGCAACGAGATGGTGTTGACCCATAGTCACAACAGATAGTGGGTCATCTTTCTGGTTGTGAAATTATGTTTATGTCCTTTTGAAATACGTAACCACATTTTAGGGGCTCTGTTTTTAGCTCCCTGGCATTGGTTGAATTCCCAGTGCAGCTGATAGTAATCTGAGGAACTTTGTCATTTTCCCCTCAAAAGGAGGAATCTTGCAGTAAGGATCTCTCAAGTTTTAGAAGTCCCCAGGAATATCCATACTGTCGTGTGAGAGGGATTTAAGAAAAGAATTGATGCAATACTTTTATCAACTTCTTTGCAAACAGATTTTATGGCAACTCTTTATAATCACATTAGCACAAAACTACCTGAATAAGGGTAGTTTTCCCTTCCCTTCCCTTCCCTTCCCTTCCCTTCCCTTCCCTTCCCTTTATAATCACATTAGCACAAAGCTACCTGAATAAGGGTATTTTTCCCTTCCCTTCCCTTCCCTTCCCTTCCCTTCCCGTGAGTGCCTAAGGTGTCATTTATAACTAAGTTACAAATAAAATTCACAACCTTTCATTCCACTCTCCCAGTGTGTAAAAGTACAGGGATTATAAGTGAAGATCTTTTTCCTCCATGTTCCCATAGCTCCCAACTTTCTCTAAAAACCAAACAGAATACTAGATGTGACTTTTAGTATTCTGTAAAAGTCAGATACTTGAAGCTATTTTTGACATTTTTGCCAAAGAAATATAGCTTGCTCAGTGGAGTGGTGATGGGGCATCAAGAGTCTTTTGTGTTCCCCATACTTTCCCTTGAGCTGCACCCTGAATCAGAACATGAAGTTCAGCAACAGCTGAGACTGAGTAGCATGAGCGTAAAGGGAAGATACCTCAGGCAGAGAAAAGTTAAGCGGGGGAAAAACAGAGATGGTGTCCTGCACTTGAAACAGATGAAACAGGTCCCCAGAAACAAGGAGTTCAAATAGCCTGCAGACAGCCCCAGTAAGACTAACAACACTATCTTGAATTTGATGCCTGTGGTCCTTTCACAGGACTATGAAAAAGTGTGATTGTTGTCTTTAAGCAGCCTGGGGACCCACAAGTGCCTGTCTGTTGTGATTTTAGCCAAATGTTTCCAGAGCCTGTTTGCTTTGAGCTGAATAATGCTATACTCAGAAATATTGTGTAAGCCAATAAAAACAAAGATTTAAAAAAATATTGAAATTCATGGACATAAAAGCTGCTCTCCTACTGTTGTTGCTGAGTGGAACATCCAAACATGACTCTTTAGTAAAAAGATCTACATTAGGATTTCAGTTCAAATTAGACATACGCTTTTGTAGTAAGTGTCATATCCATTTGCTGTGTTTGCTCTTGCTTTATGGAGCGTGCAAACTAGATTTCTTTCAGACAAAACTGAACTGGAAGATGTGCTCTGGAAGCACACCTGGTGCCTCCAAACAGGGGGTTTCAGTCCATAAGGCCAGGCTAGACATAGGTTGAAGTCATCCCACTGAAACGGGTACAGCTGGGAAAATTGGGCTTTTGGCGCTACCTGTTTCTCTTGTCTATTCATTCATATCTCAGTCATTCATTCAACATTCATCATTCATATTACACATCATTATTTATTAATGGGTATATATAGGCAGTAAGCTAATTGTGACGGATGTTGGTAATTGCACTGAGTATCCTCCACCTCACTGCACTTTCACATCAACTCTATCTGTGCAGCTGGAGTAAATACAGCTCTGGTGTGAAAAAGACAACCTGAACCCTCCCCTTAACCGGGTCCTAAGGCAGAAACGACTGCAATATAAGGCTGCAGATGGGAATGAGCACACTGTTCCTGGCTCTTCAAATGTCACACCATCTCTTCAACTCCCTGTTTTTGGTAAAACGGCCTGGGGGACTGAGAAAGAGGTTGTAATACAGGATTATGCAAACAAAGGTGGGAGACAGGTATTAACAGCCTGTCAGCCTTCCTTTCTTCCCATAAATTCATGTCTGGGCTCCAGGATCTGGCTGTTACTGCACAGTGTGCTCAGTAATCAACAGCATTCCCAAATACGCTCAGTTTGAATATAGGGAACCAAATTCAGTAATAAGTATTTGAAAAAGGCTTCTCTTTGGAAAAGCTGGGCATTGAACAAGTATTTTTTAAAAATAGCTCCAGGCAAGTAAGTAGCAGAGAAAGAGCTAACATGAATTACTACTAATTATTTAATGATTTAGAGTATAACCCCTTCTGTTATATGAAGATAAGCTGTTATCCTGTGAAAAAATGGGATTCAGAGTGATCTGAATATTGTATATTTTGGAATGAATGCTGAAATTTATCAAGATAACACCTCAGCAAATCTTCAAAAATTTAGTTTTGTTTACTAAACATTAATAATCAGCAGCAGGGTATTTTAATGCAGTTTGAATGTCTTTACTTTTTTAGAGAGAATTGAATTTTCAAACTAGACATTTCATTTATAATGGGATATTTAATAACAAGTGTAAAGGTGTGTGGCAACATAGTCAGTGCCCAAATAACTTTACTAGTAGACTAAATTCCATCAGGTGACTCCTTTCCTTGTGGTAATTAATTTTGTGTGAGTTTGAAGTGCAATAGCTTTGAAGAGATGAATTCCATTCAAGGTATAATACAACTCACATGGCTGTGAATGAGCCTTATCCTGCCATTTAGGATATGTGGGCAGACTGTGATGTCCAAGAATAGGACCGTGCAACCCCGATGCTTTAAAATCAATAACTGGATACACATAGATGGAGTAAATTTTGTGGTGAGAATGTAAATGTTTTTGTACTGGTTTTGTGACCCTGGGATTCAAAGTACTTGTAAGTCCTCAAGCTTCACAACCTTCAGGGTGTGATATTTTTGTAAAATGAAGCTGGAAATCTCAAGGCTAAAATTCTGGGATTCATACAGCTTTGTTCCAATTTTAGCCTTGAGGATATACATCAACAGAATTATAAAGAGTAGACTCGTGCACAGAGAATTTCAGCTGGGTCTATTTTCTTCAATTTTTAGATGTATTTAGGAATTGTTTGCATATCTTGGTCTCTTAAAGGCTTTACCCGTGACTGTGTGTTTCCTTCATTCTTCAAATTGAAGGACTACCAAAGTCTGTTTGACTGTCTTGTTATCCTCTGAGACTATTAAGCAAAATCCTGTTTGTTGATAAATCCTGGAGTAGTTTTACTTGGTTTGGGGTCTGGTTAGAAACAATTTATGTCAGTTACATACTGATTAAGTAGAAAATGTGGATACATTGCACGGAGCTCATGGAAGAGCAACAAAACCAGGAGGAATTATAGAGAGTCATTAAAAAGGAGGAGATGAAGGCCTATGAGAGTGATAAGTAATGCTCACATTTAAACAAGTGTGAATACAGTTGGTAATAATTCAGCAAGAAAAAATACCCATTCTATAGGCATAAAAGACAGCTAGATAGGGATGTTTTACAGTTCTATGAAGGGAATACAAAAATTGTAGTATAAAAAGTGGAAAGAGGACACAACAGTAGAATAGGCTAGAAGGAGATTCCCAAGTGAAGTCCAGGGGCTTATTTCTTAAGGAATGTCATAAACTATGTAGACTGCACAGCACATTTGGAAATGGTGACAAATAGTCTGGTTTGGTAGGTGAGATAATTTGGGTGACATGATTATACATAAAAATGAACTTATAGTGTGGCTAGTGCAGAGACATTTCACACCTGAGTCTGATCGGAATTTCACTCTTAAGAATTCATTGTCTTTGTTATTTATGAAGAATGCAATATATCTTCTCCAAAATTACTATAGCAGCTGCTACTGGGCACAAAATGCATCTCTGATTCTGCATGCTAATAGGTGTGGCCATTAGTTGGCATTAAAATTCATTTTAGCATGGGCTTCTAGAAATTTTTACCCATGGCCTGCTTTGTCTCAAGTTTAGAAATGAAGTATATGCTCATTATATTTCTCACAAAGTTAAAACCTAGCAAAATTTGTATCTTTGTTCTGTTTGAAGGTATTTTAAAATTATTTTTTTATTGTTCCTAACTGAAATTTGGTCTTTTATTTGACCCAGGGAGATTCAAGGGAAATCCTCCTTCTCTTTCTCCCTGCAGCTTCCTGCAATTTCTCTTTTTTAAAGTAATATGCTCTTTAGTGCCGTTGGTAGGCCACATTCACCCGCACCACTAACAGTGAGCATTTTGAGAGATTTTGCAGCTCTCATTCTCAGTGATGACATGTATAGAAGCAGAAGCTGCCGAATAAGTGAGTGCACTGTGTTTTCTGACACTGGTTTTGTACATCTCTACTGGCAAGGGAATACCTGTACTTCATTTGCCTTTAAATCCTATATGGCTTTGTTCTGTGAGATGTTAAAGCCCTGTTAATAATGGACAGCAGGATATTTGTCCTGCTGACATCAGTCATATAATTTTACTGCAAATTGGGAGATGTTGCCAAGTTTGCTTCTGTATTCCATTCCTTCCCGCTGTGCGATAGACGTGCTTGCACCTACGCTTAGCATTAGTGTG